TGTAGTGGTGATGTATCCACTGCAAAACTTTCGTGATAATTGCTGGCCCAACTTCCAATCGAGTAATCTCCGTCGTGTGGCTCATGTGAGGCATGGACAGGTGCATAGTAGGTGTCGCTTGTGAGTTCGAAACGTTGTTTGAGGGATCTGGGATGGGGCATATCGATCGATGGCCAAGAGGTCATATCGGTCGATGCTCGTCGGAGGAAGGCGGGATAGGAGGGTGTTCTGCATCTTCTCGAAGAAATCAGTACTCTATGGTTCGTTCGTCCTCATAATCTTCATCATACTCCCCCTGAGTACTGATACTAGCTAGCTCGGGCATGTAATGATCGTTTTCCCACTCATCTATGCCGAGATCGGCTTCTGGAAACTCATCTTCGATTTTCTGGAACTCCTTATCGATCGATGACCATGTGGTTCTACACAGGTGTCGGTCGATGGTGAAGGGTTGTCATAGGTCGATACTGATTCTTCGGTTTCATACTCTCCCATAGAATCATACTCGTGGGCACATAAACAGGTGCCTACAAGTATTGAGCTTGCTGACCTTGGAAACTTGATGACTGGAACAGGGTTGTAGTGGATGGAAGGGTTGATAAGGGTTAGGCAGAGCTTGTTGGTTTGTAGGTCACAAACGGCTCCAACTGTGGCTAGGAAGGCTCTTCCAAGTAGTAGAGAAGTCTTGAAGTTGAGCTTGTTGGAGAGGACATGAAAGTCTGTAGGAATTAGGGTTTCTCCAATCTGTACCTCAAGGTTGCGAACGATGCCTCCAGAGCTTTGCTGAGAACAATCCACAAAGATGAAAGTTTCTTGAGAAGGCTCTATCTTCAGACCTAGATGGTCTGCCATAAGATTGGATAAGATGCTAACTCCAGATCATGTGTTACATAGGGCACGGGGGAACGCAACACCTCTGATGGAACAAGGTATTGTGAAATTCCCTGGATCACTCTTCTTCTCCAGTGCTATCTTCTGCTTTAGACTATCTCTGACTTGGTGAAACAATCTCTTGATGTCTTCTTCTGTCTCCTTGGTTTCTCTGAAGAACATCCACAATCTGTGTGAAAAATATGCTTCTTCAAAAGGTTTCTCTTTAGGTATTCTGAGGAATTTTTTTCTAAAGCTTGACAACTCCTTCTCATTAGCTTCTCTTTTATAGGGCTTAGGTATCTTCTCTTTCCTTTTTCTGAGAACTCTTCCTTGAGTTTCCTTTTCTATCTCCATGGACTCAAAGATATCCGTGGGTCTCTCTTTTAGGGCTGCTGTGGGGCTTCTGGTGGTGTAATACTGCTCCCGGAAAGCGTCAAGACGTGCACTATCAATCTTAGGAAGCTGCACTCGGCGTTGGGGTACTGTGTATCGATCGACACTGGCTGGGGTGTGTCGATAGATACCAGGGTCTTGGTGTCTATCGATGATAGGGTTGTCATGTCGATCGATGAAAGGGATGGGCGGCTGTGGGTGACGTTTTGCGAAGGCGGCGTGAGACATAATCTTGAAGGAATTGCACTCGCGAGGGTTTTCGTCTGAGTCTATCGATCGACACTCGTCAAAGTCTATCGATCGGCGTACTAAAGGCGATATCGATCGATGTTGAGCTGGTGATATAGATCGATGTTGAGCTGGTGATATCGATCGATAGTAGTCGTAGGCGAAATCTCTTTCACTCTCATCATCAGATCTCTGAATCTCTTCTACTACCTCTTGCCAAAATTCATCATCCAGGATGGCAATGATGTTCTGGTTGTGGGAAAACTCCTGCTTCTTAAGTGCTTCTCATGTCTGAAACACTTGGGTCTCTAGCTTCTTCACATGGGTGCTGAGGGCATCTATCTTCGTGGTGAAGGTGGTGTAGACAGAATCGATCTTTCCATTGAAGTTTACCTCGAGCTTCTGCTGACTCTCGAGTATCTTGTCTACCAACTCCTCCAGTTTAGTATCTTGGGTGGGTGGGTGTGGATTTGAGTAGAAAGCACTTCCATAGTTTCTGTTGTTGTTAGGGTTGCTGCTGCTGAAGTTGTTGGGCTTCTGGGAACTCTGGTTGAAGTTGCTTCTCTGGCCTGTGAAGTTTCTGTATCCTCCTTGGTTACCAGATCTCTGAAAACCAGCTCCACTAATCCAGTTGACATCTTCTTCAACAATGTCGAATCTTCAACTGAACAGATCTGCTTGTTTAGGAGCTTCTGAATGTTGTCTAGCTGTGCTTGAACTTCATTGATGTACTCCTTCCCAATGGATGATGTAGTCTGCGTCACAGAGTTCTTTGTGCTGTTGCTGGAAGCCAAGTTACCAATTAGCTTGATAGCATTCTGCGGATTCCTGGTGGTGAAGTTGCCATCACTAGCTGTATCAAGGGCTCTCTTGAAATCTGGGCTGATGCCTCTGTAGAAAGTGCAGAGCAGTTGCACTTTGTTGAATCCGTGGTGTTGGCAGTCTCTCTGGTAGGATTTGAATCTATTCCAAGTATCATTGAATGACTCTTTAGGGTCTTGGGTGAATGTAGCAATTTTCTTCCTCCAGTCTTCAGCGCGTGAATCATCAAAGAAATTACGCAGGAAAGCGTGCTTGATGTCACTCCAGGTGGTAAGGGAACCTGGTGGTAGTCTTCTCAGCCACTGCAAAGCTTCTCCAGATAGAGAGAACTTGAAAAGCTTGCAGAAAAGGTAGTCTTGGGGGACTCCTTTTGCTTTGACTAGGGTTACAAGATCCTTTAACCTCTCCAAATGGTCCATAGGATGCTCATGGGGAAAACCACAGAAAGGGATTTGTCCTACAAGTGTGTAGTACTGCGGCTTGAGCTCAAAATCTCCTCTCTGAATAGCAGGAGGGAGGATGGCTGATCGGTTTGAATAGAACTGATCCGGACGGTTAAAGTCACCCAAAGTTATGGTCTCTTCTATAGGTTGAATGATGCCTGTAGGTGCAGTGTCTTCTTCAATAATGACCTCCTTCTGATCATTCAGCTTCTGACCTGCTGCATTTCGCAGTTGACCATCTTGATCACGCAGGTCTCCATTCTCATCGGGTATGAGAATCATAGGCGCTACCATGTCTCATCGGTTAGTATCGATTGATATAGGGTGAGGTGTATCGATCGATGTCAAGTGAAGGGTATCGGTCGACGAGCGGTTGTTGACGTCGATCGATGAGATGGTAAGGGAATCGGTCGACGAACGGTTGTTGATGTCGATCGATGGGATGGTGAGGGAATCGGTCGACGAACGGTTGTTGATCGTCGGTGGAAAGCGCGTATCGGTCGATAGAGAGGTGTTGGTATTGATCGATGTGGAGCGTAGGTCTTTGCGAATGCTACGTTCCAGATTGTTGGGATCTTTTGAGTACAAATGTTGCTTGTCCTTGTTGCTTCTAGTACTGCTGGGCATGTACCTGAAAAAGACAAAAAGAAAAAGAAAAATTTTGTGTCAAAAGATTGAAAAATAAAAAGTAACAATTAACCTAAACTGAATCAGATTAAATCTAATAGTAATCTTAGTTCCCCGGCAACGGCGCCTAATTTGATATCACTCAAATGTTTAACCCTAAGGAATGAAATACTCTCTCAAATAAGAGGTTCAATCATAGTACTTAGGGATCGAATCCACAAGGAACTAGAGTCACAAAAAATATAATCCTAAGTGGTTAAGCTAGGTGTATTAGGTTTAAAACAATAAATAAAAGTTGGTAGCAATGGTAAGTTGCTAAGGAAAATGGTTTTTGGGTTTTAAAACAATAAAAGAAAGTAGCTAGATTCAAGGTTACTTTTCAGAAAATCAGGATTATAAATCTATGGATGTCTTAACGAATTGCTTGCAAATATATGAGAACTTCAATCCTTAGACAAATCTATAGCTGTCGCTAGTTAGACTCGTCCATTGATCTGATTGCCGAGAGTATCGATCGATGTTGCTGCCGCAGTGTCGATCGATATGTTTTGCCGTCGATCGATTACTCTATAGGAGTATCGATCGATATAGCATCGGATCGAATTGAAACTGTGTTTACCCGTGAATTTCTATTAGACCGCCTATCGCACGTTCCTAATAGAGTCTGAGCTTAGTCAAATGATTTCAGGATAATGACTATTAGATTAGTCACTCTATAATCATACCTCTAGGTAGCTAATCTAGGGTAAGCATTAGGGTTCATTTGGATAATGAATATAACAACTCAACACTCCACAGTTGGGGCTAATCCCTCATAACTATTTGAACCCTAAATCTAACAAATGAATCTACTCAGACATAGCCAAGTGATTCATAGCAAAAGAATAAAATGAAAAGAAAATACTTTATTGCTAGGTGTATAATAGAATACAAAACTTAGATAAAACTCAATATCCTTTAGGGCTCATAGGCATAACAATAAATATGAGTACAATTAGGTTAAAAACTCGTCAGGGGCAATCTTGTAATTTGGTGAGAACTTGGGCTTCAAGTCAGCCAAGTAAATCTTGCTCATCACGCTCTGTATCAATCGATGGTACATGGTGTACATCGATCGATGGAATATCTCGACTTCAACTTATACGGAAGCGTCATCGATCGATTACACAAGATGTGTATCGATCGATATGTGTCTCTCATTTTCGGATCTTCATAGTCATCTTGGAAAACTCTCCTTTAAGCTCCATAAGGCACCTAAATCATCACTTTACTACAAAATGCTCCTGAACCTGAAAACATACCTAATAGACTCCAAAACATAGATAATTATCATAAAAACATATCAATACCATAACCAAAAACGGGTCAAAATCATGGTATATCAATTATCTATGTTAGTTTTAGACTAAGAAATTAGATTGGCCTACTACTTGATGGATTATAAGTTCGTTGATGGGTGTTGCTTCTAGGCTTTCCTTTTACCTTAGTTTGTGTGACATTTATGTGTAGCGTTATATTGAGTCGTTTAGATTAGGTGGTGCCAGGGAGATGACACAGTTCTGATGCTTAGTAGCTTACTAGAAAATTGTTAGGTTATGCTCCTTTGATTTGTAGGCATGTCTACTTATTGTCTCCAAAACAGGAATGTTACTAACGAGTTGTCTTTGTGGGATGAGGCCGCATCAAGCTTCAGGGGAGTTTTAAAAGCGGGGGATAAAACCTGGTCTGCAATGTTGGTGACCACCATCAATCCTACACTGTTTGGGGTTAGGATCATTTTGTCTCTGATTAATGCCATAATATTTCAATCACTTTTGGCCGTGAAACATCTTCAATGCAGTTTTCTAAAGCCTTGTTCACCTGGCCACCAGGTAATATGTATTTGAACTCCACACAAGGAATTCAGTTCTTCTTTGACACAGACATCCCTGAAAAATCAGAGTTTGTTAGCAGGTTATCGCACAGTACTCAAGTAATACCATAATTTCTTCATTTTATAATATTCCAAACTATTCTATGCAGTGTTAGGAATATGGCTCTCAGAATTTCACCTATGTCGGCACTCTAGAAGGAAGCAAGAGGAAGGAACTTGTCTCCATATGGGATCTTAACACCTTCATCTACAGCTCTAATGAGCAGCTTCTCGCCTGACCTTGTCTAAGGTTGTCTCTATTAGGTGCTATTTTGATATTAAAATTATTTCATCTGCTCAAACACAAGAAGCTGATTTTCTCTGTAAATCCCGCATCGTCATTGTCATCTCAGAGAATGGGTGGTCGCTTGTGTCATGCACTGCTTGCAAGAAAAAATTGGAGAAACGTGGAACTTCCCGGTATTACAAACGATGTGTGACTTCTGATGTCACAGGTGTTATCATGTACCTTTGTCTGCTTTTTACCATGTAATAGAAGCATTTTTGGCTATTTAGTTACTGATAAGACCATTTCACAAACAAAGGTTTCACGTAGAGCTTGCTGTTGATTATGGCCGAGATAGGATGATCTCCCAAGCTGTCTTGAAGAGCTGACAGGGAAGGAGTTTGTGTTTCAGATCCATGTCACCCCTTTCAACTTCACATCCAACCACCGTACCTTCACTGTCTCCATGATCGCCAAATAACAGTGTAACAAACAATCGAGAGGTTGTTGTTTTTGACTTGTCATTATCATTGCTGTCTGCGCCATATTATTTACACATGATTGCACTGTATCTCAGGAACACGGTGAGACCCTTTTTCCAAGCACTGGAGGCGACAAAGGATTGACAGTAACGTGTCCGGGACCATCTGTTTTAGGAGACAAGATTGAGGAGGAATGTGATGGAGCAGATGCTCCGGTGATTTTAAACTCTCAAAAGAAACGCAAGCGCGTCGTGAGTGATTGGGAATATATATTCCTTATTAACCTGTCAGCACCCTTATTATTATTTTTTTTAAACACTAGTATCTTTGTTTCTGATTACAAACCTCTGCTATTTTCCTTTCCTTTATTGTTTTTCTTCTGGGGATTTTTATCTATGTTTTGGAATTTGAAAGAATCTTTGACGAGTTTTACTTGATTCAATAATTACTATTACTATTTTTACACTTTTAGTTTTGCATGCTTACTCAGCCAAGTTAGAAAAAGTTTATGTGTTGATTTCAAAATGAATTGCAGGTCCAGGTGAGGAGTAGTTGTTGTTATGAAATTAGTTTCTCAATGTTTTCCGAATTTACAATGTCTCAGTTTATTACCAACATGGTCTCTTTATTCTGGAAGCACACATACATACCATAGTTTATGAGCGTTTAAAATAGAGACATGAGTACTACAAATCAACTCTAACAAATAGCTGTGGATAATAGAATACAGAGAGGTCATATATAGGGTGTTTTAGGCGTCCCATAAACTCCAAGTTTAAAAAAAAAATATTTATAGATCCTTAAATTTAATTGATAATTTATTGTCATATGACTATTTCATTTTATGAAACTGTAGAAAGTTTACTTTATCCAACAAAAAGAATTGCAATATTTAGTTACAAAATCAACCTCAGTTACGTTTTAAAAACAAATTCTTAACAATATATGATGTTAAATTTGAAAAAAATGACATTTTCACTTCCACGGTTTCAATAATATAATTACAACTAAAAATCTCAGTTAACTTTTATCCTGAAATCAATACTAAAGTATATGGTCAACCAAATAATTATAATTTATACGATAACTAACCTCAAATATAAATTCAAATCAAATAGTAAGAACTGTGACTATAAATATTTCTTTCGATCATCATCATACGCACAATGCCAACCAACAAATGCTAAGCTAGCCAGTGACACAAATTAACAACAAAATTATACACAAAATACAAAAAAACAAAGGCATCAAAAACCTCTTCGGTCCTGCGCTTGCGCGGGGACTATGCAACTAGTTATACATAGTTATACCATTTTGTTCATACCACGTTTTGCTACGTTTTCTAGTTTTTTAAATCAAAATAATAATCTGATACGATTTTTATAATTATACCAATATTTTTGATTATCCAAATAGATTGAGATCCATTATTCTCAATTAGTTAATTATGAACCTGAATTTGAAGTTAAAATTTCTAAATTCTTAACGAATGAATTAATGTAGAATATAAATGCTAAATTGAATAGAGCTTGAATAAAATCTGGGTTTGAGATCTACAGTGGAGAGAGAAAGGAAGAATATAGAGTATGAGAGACAATGATTATGATTGGTTTAGCCAAAAAAGTAATTTTTACATTGACCATGAGATAAATGAGGAGTATGTGAGAATTCATAAGAGTATACCAGAATATTGTTTTCCTCATTAAGAGCATTTGAGAATTTGACTCCAAATTTTCAATGTTGGACGCTTAATAGTTTTATTATAATCATTATAAAAATCCAATGATAGTAATTTAATAATAGCTCAAAACTAAAATATTAAGGTCTCAATATTTGCTCAAAGCAAAACGCGAATTTTAAATATTTATGAAATTTTATATGTATATCATTTGATTTAAAAATATTAAAATAGATATATGTTTTAATATGAATATTTATTGAATGAGGCTTTTTACTCATACAATTTTGTAACTGTTTTGTTATAATAAAAACAAATTAAACTTCTGATCACAATTTTTTTAATGTGAGACTTTTAACAGTTTTATAAATTTATAATTACTTTTAAATTTTAAAATATAACATATACGGAAAAGTTAAATATGTATTATATGATTAATGTGAATTTTTAATTAATTTTGATAATATAAATTTAAACACAAAAGATAAAGGATAAACAAATTGTTATCAAATCTTTATTATTTAAAATCATTCATTGTCATTTATATTTTAGTTACATTAGATAATTTCATAGGTTTTATACTTTTATTAGGGAAAGAAATAAAAATATTAATACTTAATTTTATGATTAGTTTACTGAAAAGTTTTAAAAAATGGTATGCCATTTTACTTAGGAAGTTCAATGAAAAACTTAAGACAATTCACTCACTTTTCTCAAATAAACTTTACATGTAATAATAAATGAGTAATTCTTGGGTTTACCCTATAGGGTGAACCAAACCTCTAGACATCTAGGTTCACCAATAAATAGAATTACATTATTTTATATTTAGTATCTTTTTAAAAAGAAAAAAAAATATTGTCGAGTTATATTACATTTTAAAAATTTAAACATAAAAATAAATAAAAAATAACAGTAGTTGCAAAAAAAAATAATTTTTTTAATACTATTATCAAAACGCTAAACCCTAAACTCTAAACCTTAAAACTCTTCTGTAAACTCTAAACCCTTGGATAAATCCTTGAATTTTTTAAAAATATTTTTAATACCGTCATCAAAACACTAAACTCTAAATCCTAAACCCTAAACACTTGGGTAAACTCTAAACCCTTAGATTAATCATAAATTATAGGGTTTAATTACAATAAACCCAATAAACACTCTTGTTTAATCATAAATTCTAAAAATAAACACCCAAGGAAATGACAATAAAGACTCTTGTTTAATTTTGTTACTGTTGATACAAATTTTAATTATCAAATCCACATCATTAATTAGGTAACCCACGTCAGTAATTAGGCAATCCACGTCACTAACTTATGTGACACGGGAAAATCAACCATCCCCATATTTCTTCATCTTTGAAAAAAAAACGTCACAACCTTCTTAAACCGTTGTTAAACCCTAACCGTCACCTAAATCGTTTTGTCTCGAACTGTCTCTTATATCGTCTTCGTTGATAATGTCTTCTCCGCAAAAGTTTCTACGCAATCGTCTTCGTCGCAATCGTATCTACGAAATCACCTTCTCCGGTATGTTGTGACTGATTTTGATTTACGATGTGGATGATTTATAGATTATGTTGTAACTGAGTTATTTTATATTGTGGCTGAGTTTGATGTATGTTGTGATCTATTGCGGCTGAGTTATTGATTATGTTGTGGCTAAGTTATGTATTATGTTGTTGCTGAGTTTGTCGTATCACGGCTCAGTCATACTATATTGTGGCTGAGTTTTGTTTCTATTACGGCTGAGTTATGTATTATGTTGTGGCTGAGTTTTGTTTCTATAACGACTAAGTTATTTATTATGTTGTGGCTGAGTTTTGTTTCTATTATGGCTGAGTTATTTATTATGTTGTGGCTGAGTTTTGTTTCTACTACGGCTGAGTTATTTATTATGTTGTGGCTGAGTTTGTTGAATTATGGCTAAGTTATACTATGTTGTGACTGAGTTTTCTTTCTATTACGGCTGAGTTGACTGAGTAAACTTTTCTATTGCGACTGGTTTATATATGTGTTTTAGGATCAGATGGCTATTTCTTAAGATCAAGCACGAGATTATCCTCCACAACTTTACGCTGAAGGGCCTTCTAATCTAGAAAATAAAGAGATTAATCACAATTTGCAAATGTGAGATTTCCCTAACGCCAGAGAAGCAATAGGACAGAATGTGTGGGATCACCTAAATTAGGGTCCTCTTGGAATAATTGTTAAGCTAGCTGAACGCAAAAGCGTGTGGTCTGGTAGGACTGTAAACTATCTACTATGTCGAGAGCTTTGAGTATATAAGAAGGAGATTTGGAGTCCAGTTGGTGATGAACCTATCAAGTTTAGCTTACACAAATTTGGTGAGATCACTGGGTTAAACACAGATCTAGTGCCAACAGAAAGTTTTGAACCTGACCAATACAAAACGTTTTGGTAGGAGTTGAATCTGCCGCTTGGGGTGGGACCCTAGTTAGATGAACTGAGGGAAGGATTAAAGGTATGTCGGGCATGGAGTTTTGAAAAGCGTAAATTGTTAGGGCTGTTACTTCTTCAAGCGATGGGACTTTACGCTTTGCATCATAGTTCTAGGATACCGTTTGAAAGTGCAAAAAGAATATTCGAATATGAATCCATGATTGCATCATAGTTCTAGGATACCGTTTGAAAGTGCAAAAAGAGTATTC